TGCCTGTCAAACTTCTTCTATCATATATTACAAAGCTCCGGAAGCATCTTAAAGTTTCACATTCAGTCAACGTTTTGCTTCCAATCTGTGATCAACTTTAAGTTAATAGCATCTCTTTTTGTGTTCACAGAGGATGTATTCGAAGCATCTGCATGGCAGGTGGTATAATAGAATGATACAACTGGGAAGATGATACACTTCTTCACAAGGTTTCCAGTACCATTACAAGTCTGAAATCTGCTTGCCACAAATATTCTGCATTCTTTGCTTTCAATTTGCTGTTTCTGTGAATATTTCTGTCAGTAACCTCTCTTGATGACTTTTTCAAATATTCGCCATTTTAGATGCAATGTTAATCCTGAGTGGAACCCATTGAAAATGAAACTTTAACTTTATCTGTTCATTTCAGCCTTGTGTCTCCCATGTGTGCCATAAATCTTAGTTCAAGATTTTGAAAAATAGGGAGCCCAAAGTTAGGCACATAAATCTATATTTAGGAACCTATATATAAAAAAGGGTCTGGTTTCCAGTGGTGCTGAGTCAATGCAGCTCCAATTGACTTCAATGGAAATTTTGGGTGCTCAGTGCGTGTCCCTCTATACTCCTGATTCATAGAGGAGCTGAGTCTCTTACAGTTCTTGGGTGAGGTGCCTGTCTCCTTAGCTCAAGCTGTAGATACCTTTGTTCTGATGATCACATGGTTCAATCCCTGCCATCAGTCAGTATCAGGCTACTTTTATTTAGCTGCCTAACTTTGTGTGCCAAATTTGAAAATTTTGATCTTCTGCCTCTTTCTTAGGGTGACCAGACAGCAAGTGTGAAAAATTGGGATGGGGGTAAGGGGTAATAGGAGCCTATATAAAAAAAGACCCCAAAATTGGGACTGTCCCTATAAAATCGGGACATCTGGTCACCCTACTCTTTTTCCTCTCATGTGAATATAAACATGAACATTATATTTAACATACATTAAATCCATTGACATTAATAAAATTATACCCAGGTAAAATTGGTATTACTGTGGTGAGGACAAGGCCTCTTTGTTTGAAGGTACATAGAAAGCAAACACAATAGGAGTGTGGACTCAGATCTAATTTGTTTATAACTCTCTGAAAAAATACTCATGGACAACTTTGATCAATATTTATCCAGATATAGTGGGCAGTTTACTAAATTATTAAAGGAATAAGAAAGGACAGCACTTACAAAAGGAAGAGTTACTATAAAAGGAAAGAAATTACTAAAGAATAAGTTGTACAACACTGATAAAACATATTGCTGAAAACAAAATGACAGTGAATATGATTTTTCTACCTAAGATTTTTGAGACATCTTTTGCCTATTTCTTGTAAAATTACATGCACAACATCTATACATCTCAAGGCACACAATGCTTAATTTTGAAACATCATGAAATGTAAATATTCCTGTTTTGAAGTCATTCCCCGAACCAAGCATAAAACCCAAATCATATATTGGAGAGTAATGTAGCAATTTTTAAAATGGAGTCAAGAGGACTTCCTTTGGGCATGAACAGCTCATACATTATTTTCCGTATATGCCGTAATAGCTCCAGTGCCACCGGCATGTATTACTTCACCCAGGTGATGTACAGTTAATAAATGACCTTGCAATCTATTAATATGTAACTAGGATGTCATTCCCAATATTTTATCCACTCCACACTATCATTCCCAGAAACAGCACTTTTAGACATTAATATTTTGGGAATAATAATATTGAGGTAAATCCCAGGCCTGGAGGGAATACAAATATAGTTTGCTTTTCCTAGCAAGCTATACAGTGGCAATATAACTTCAGCACAGTGCAATATAAATTCATCACTAAAAAGTTAACATTTTCAATGATTACCTTAAATGGTATCTGGGATGTTACAATTATCTCCTGTTTTAAGCACATAGCAGTATCTCTAGGCAAAGATGGGCACTTCTATTTGTTTTAAAGCATGCTGTAGAATAACAATAAATGAATAAGAAAAGTATATTACTGAAATTGTTCTGGAAGTGAGGCTTCTTTTTAACATGATAAACACTGTATATTGTCACAGCTCATTTATTTCTGTAAGTCTGGTTTGTCCTCTAAGTTTAAGTAGAACTTAATAAATGAATCACCAATTTTGTCCTGTTCAGACATAGAGGTGTAACTACTGTACAAATTAACCAGTCCCTCTTGTTACAAAAATGAAGATTTATTAATGGTTATTAAGCTAAAATAAGCCTATTAATCACTGAAGACTGGCCTTCTAGAGTGTATCTTAGTTTTCTTAATGGAATTATTTGCTTACCTGTTGTTTCTTTTCTTCAGTCATTCTAATAATGTCCTCAATTCCCAGGTAAGAAATCCTAGTTAAAAATGAGTGTCCAGATCCTCTGGAGGTATATATTGGCATAGCTCCATTGAAGTCAATGGTAGTATATAAAGTTGTACCAGCTGAGGATCTGGCCCACGGTAATTTGTTGTGTCATGAATTCCAGTTAATATAAAAACAGAAACTTATCTTTATTCACTGCGGGCCCCAAATATTTTCTTTTGCAATAGAAAAAAAAACTAAAGTCCTACTCCAATTACCACTGAAATCAAACTCTTACTGTCTTCATTGAAAATTGGACTGAGGCTTAAGCAGATAAATATTTGCTTGGCTAGAGCATATACATTTAATAAAGTGTTACAGCATGCTACATATCTAATTCTTTACTTGTGCTGAAATTCTTTTTGTTTGTTTGCTTGCGAGTAAAACCTCTAAAATATAGCAGGCCCCCTGATTTCACGCTAATGCCACTCAAATATCTTTTCTAGAAACACTGCTACATCAAGTGAGTGGTACATTTACAACTGCTGATTAGCACAGCCAGGCCAAGTACATTTCCCTAAGCAGGTCAATAGTGAAAGTTGTAGCGAAATGTCTCTAGTAATCAGATACTATGTCAATAGGGACAGTCATGATATAGGAAGATGTAATTATTGGTTGGAGGGACACAAGTCTTCTACTGAAAGTATAAACTTTTCTTTTCTTTTACATTGTTTTATTCTCAGTGAATTTTCACATGGAAGATGACAGCCTATTTAAATCCTTGGAGACTGAAATAATTTATTTCTTTAAAAACATATAAAAAAAGACCGTGATGGACCAAGTTGCCCACACCATCTGAACCTTCTTCCAAGGAACTACCTATGAGGATGAGAGGATAATTCAGGTTCCATGTGCAGGGGTACTAATTATTGCTAGTCATGAGATGAAATGAATCTTCTTAGTGTGTAATGATTTGGCTAGGATGTGCTTTCCCCAATCATTTTGCAGCAATACACACTTTTTTTTCATGCCATGCAATGATTGCCCTCCTTGTTTGAAACAAAAAATATACAAGAATTTATAAATTGTATAGGCAAAAGTAAAGAAAAGCTTTACGTAACTTGTGGCAGAAACAGCAAATTAAGCAATTAAAATTCTTACATCATCAAACCAAAGATTTAAAAGTGGTATTGTTGCCAAAATGTTGTTTGCCAAAATGTGTTCTTATAACAGTCCAAATCTGCCAATGAAAGAGAGAATTAGCATTTTATAGAGCTTCCTCTGAGTATAATGGGAGATGTTTGGGGTGGATTTATTCCTAATTCTTTTCCTTACTCACACTTGCAGTGTTTTGGATTTTTCTAGTGTTTGTGAAAGGTATCAGATTCCCAGGTGCTGAAGTCTTTTAACCACAGAACAGGTACAGCACAGACATCAACAGTAGAAACTTCTCAGTACTGCTCGACCAATGTGACTCACTCACGTTATGTAGATATCTAGCCCCGTTAAGCTGTGTCAAACGGCTGGAGTGGGTAAACATGTTCTAAAAGCCTGGTTTTGGCTCAGGTAGGATTCCTGGAGCACAGGCACTGTGGCAGATTCCAGGCAGTGTTATAGCCCATGGGGCAGCCCATAAGTTAGAGAGGCTACCAGTAGGGTGACCAGATGTCCCGATTTTATAGGGACAGTCCCGATTTTTGGGTCTTTTTCTTATATAGGCTCCTATTACTCCCCACCCCGTCCCGATTTTTCACATTTGCAGTCTGGTCACCCTAGCTACCAGGGTCATTTAAATTACTTCAAGTTTCAGAGTAGCAGCCGTGTTAGTCTGTATCCGCAAAAAGAACAGAAGTACTTGTGGCACCTTAGAGACTAACAAATTTGTTAGTCTCTAAGGTGCCACAAGTACTCCTGTTTTTAAATTACTTCAGAAGCTGGTCCAGCCCGTAGAGCAGCCCAGGACCAAAAGGGCACAAAGATGTCTTTAAAAACCCTGCAAGTTCTGTGCTGAGTTTCTAAAAGCATATAATCTCATCCATTATTCTCAAATGTTTATTCTGCCCTGACTTCTCTTTTTAGATTGCCAACTAGGTTGACACCTATTGCCATTTATCATGCTATTTGTGTATGTGGACACGTGCCCACTGCAAACTGGACTTAGCTCATTTGACAAGAATTTTTAATTACTGTCGGCCCTGGAACATATTAACAATCTGAATTTTTCAGATTTTACTGTTAAGTTTTGCATCAAAACCAGAACACGCAGAAAAACAGAATTATTTTGTACTAGCTACACCTAAGTTATATTGATTTTAAGATTATTAAGTGTTTGTGTAACTTCAGTGTAATGGATACATAGAAAACAAATTAACATACTGGTAGGCCTCAGCATTTTTTCAGTGTATGTAACTTTAATGGGATTTCAGGACATACTTGGAATTTAAGGCATACCATTTGTGTGACCAAAGCTGATCTTTGGTGATCTACATTCAGTTCTTATCATGCTGTCTAGTTGCTAAATTGCCACTAAGCAGAGGCCACAGCATTTTGTACAATTTGGACTCTTATCAAAGAGACAGATTGCAGTAGTTCTGTCTGGAAGCAGCATTCATCTGAAAGTAGTCTCTTCTGCTTGAAGTAATGATTCTGTGTTGCTTGTGAATTTTCTATGCCTTCCAGTTCTGGGAGCCACTACAGCACATTCCAGCCAGGGAAGGAGATTCAACCCCTCCCCCCGCACACAAAGAAAACAGCACTTTGCCAAAATAAATAATAATAATAATAATTAATAATTTATTACTAATATATAATAAAATAGATTACAAAAATTCCCATAAAGTAGCAGTTAACATAGAAAGTCTTATCACAGTCCTTTTATATGATGCCAAATCCAGTTCAATCAGATCATTTAAAGAGAAATTTCTTAAGCATTGGCGAGGTGTTATAGGTCAATAAACTAGACTGCCACCTCTGGAGAGCTGGGTTCAAATGTTGGCATAAGTTTATGAAGAGAAAACATATTTAGTGTTCTTATTGTAGTCTATAATGTACCCATCACCAAACGACCACATTCTTTGGTCCAACTTCCCTTAGATGGAGCAGGGGGAAGAGTTTGGAGGTCGAGATTGCAAGAGTGTTGGCAGAGTTGTATAGGGAAAGATTGAACTGTGTTTATTACACATGGTGTAATAGACAATAATATCCTGTTATTAAAAAAATAATAAATACTCAGCAATATCATAAAGGAAACATCAGTTATTTAGAAGAAGGAAGTCCATTTAGTCTGATATTATTAAGTAGTTGTTTATTGTGCTGAACTTTTGTTCATGTGCTTTGAACCTGTTGGATATGTGGATTTAATAAGATGAAAAAACCCTCCATATTCGTGTTTTGGTCATATGAGCTCCAATCTCATGTACTGTGATGTTTCCAGCACCTCAGAAAGGAATTATATTATTGCATTATATGTTGCTTAACTATTATATATAGCAGCATATACATTAGGGGCTATATTGTGTATTTGCAATACTGTTGCAACTCTGTGCAAGGGGTGGTGCATAAGCTCATCTTCTCAAGTAGCCTGGGAAGCATTGTGACTCAGATCCCGCCCCTGAGCACAACTGGAAAATGACTGCATTAAGTGGCGCTGGCTACCTATTGACTATTTCAGCAGGCAGGTGCTGAAGTGCATGGGAGCTTCCCCACACTGGAGGGAGTAGGGTTGTAACTATGATGGCTCTGCACTGCCTTGGGATTTCACCTTCCAGAGGGAATCCTCAGGAGGCTGGTTAAGGTGGCTTTATGGCCACTTTACGCCACTGGAATGGTGCAAAGGGGTCATAGCAGGGCTGAGACTCTGACCCCAATGTAGTCCACATAAACATCTATGTCAGGCTATGAGAATCAAGAGGAAGAGCTTTTTCTGTCATGTGCCCATGGGCTAATGGTTACACATAAACTGAATGGCATGTTCTGGATTCCTATGGTAATATGGATTCTATATTAATAGTCAGAGACAAGAGATTGATTGAAATATCACCATCAGAAATAAAGTACAATCCAAATATAGACCAGAACAAAGGCCAATTCAGAGCTGAAGTCTTCAAGTAAAATTGGTGTTGTGTAGGAGGAAACATCAGAAATATACCACAAATTGACATGGCAGCCCTTGGCTGGGGTTGCATGTATTGTGAATGGAAAACTCTTGTAGATTAAAGGAGCATGGTGTAGTCAGCCTGTGTATTTAATGCTCAATGGCCTTTGCAGAATTGCTGTGAAATGTTTGACCTTAGATGGGTCTTGATGATTTCCCCCTAAGTCTTCTCAACTTCTGTTGTTCCTATTTATGCTTTTACCTTATGGGCTTCTTCAAGAAAAGCATTTTTGAGCTCTAGAAAAGAATTTTCCCCTTGGACACATTCAAAAGTGACAGTTTAGACAAATATAGTGTCTTGTTTTTGTGCATGCAAACTGTTCTTTTCCACGTTGAAATATGTATTTTGTCTGTGAGTGTCTTAGTTTTGCAAACTAGAGTTGAACAGTATGATTTTTTTTTTATTTTTAGAATGAACTGATATTTTGTCTGTACATATACTGAGAAAATGGAAGTTACTGGCTTTTTAAAAGTGTAATTTTACTGAAGATTTTTTTAAAAACTATCGTAGATCAAATTATTCACAAGATGATGAAATAAAGAAATATTCAACCAATAATTAAAAGCTAAGTAAACGGTTATGTTTAATTTCTATTGTATAGAGGGGACTATATTAAGTCAGATCTAAGAGATACTTTAATGGACTTAACATTAGCAATCAGACCTGGACTCGGTATAAATCAAATACATCTGCATTTCAGTCTAATGCACACCCACTCATTCATTAGCACCATTGAATGTAGATTGTAAATATTAGTGAAGAAACCTCCAGTTCTTGAAGAAGCTTTCCACAGATGCAGCAATAATTGAACAATAAGGATGACAGTCTTATTTTTATGAATCACTAAGACTTACTATTATTGATTGACACTTGGGGTTTCAGAAAGCTTTCTCAGCTCGTATGCAACAGGAAATGGTTATAACATTATCAGATAAGCTATTTAAAAAAAAGAGAGAGAATGTCATAGAAATAATGTTGGGAATCAGCTAGTTGCTGATGTAAGCACGAGACATTCTCCTTGCCAACCAACAATATGAAATACATGCAACTTAAATTACTTAAATTTCCATATACACTCACCTCTCACCTTAAAAGAAAGAAAAATATTGACATATTCATTTTGCATTTTGTTCTCTTCAACTTCAAAGTAAAGAACAGACTGGAAACAAACGTGGCTACTTTATGCATTGCCTATGAGTGTGGGTGAAAACCCAGGAGGATGTGGACTTTGTCTGCTTCCTTCGATGATATACAGCTACTAAAAAGCAAAAACAATGTAAGGTCCTGAAAATATGTGATCCATTACTATGAAAAAGAGCAGAACTCTTGATGCCTATTCTATCTACTATGTGTACAAGATATACTGGCGTTTGTTAGCAAACCTTTTCCTACCCCATATCTCAAAGTGGCAGTGAATTGAATACTCTGTAATATCAGCGTACAGGAAATAGTGACATAGATCCTTGTTTTGGGGGAGTATGTGCATATGTGTTTTGTTGTTAGATTTTTTCCTTCCTCATTTTGGTGAGAGATAGCAAAAGTCTGATTTCACAAACACAAACTAAAATGACAAACTGGAGTTGTTCATGCATTTATTTCACTACACTGAGATTGCACCATTACTTGTAGAGCAGTCAAATCTCTGGGAATCCAACAGGAAAACAGAAATTCAGTTCAGTCTAGCATTATAGTCTTTTTATGGAGCAATTTGCCTTTTTTGTAAAGTTGATTTACATAATTCCTGCCAGGAATTCTTTACAGTAACATTTAACAATCTAGCAGATACTTATATAAAAAAAGACCCTCCTTTATTGATCTTAAATTTGCATAATTTTTCTCAGACTGATTTACTGAGATTTATTGAGTCCAGATTCTGAACCAGATTAATCTGTACAAAGGAGGCTTTCACATTCAAAAGTTTATTATAAAGCTTTGGGTTGATAAAAGTCTACAGAAATCATTAATAAGAATAATTAAATTACAGCAGTTTTTTTGGATTCAGATGTTCTGCTGGGAACCCTGAAATATTTAAGTATGTAATGTAATCCAGTAAAACGTAGATGTTGTAGGAGTCTTAGCTGTGAGTAAAAATGTCAAAAGTATTATTTTTATAGGGTTGCTAATTGTTTTATAGTGTATGATCATAAAACCAGTTGCTGCAAAACATAATTACAAAATGCACTTGAATGTGAATTACAGGCAGCATTGATTAGGTTAATGTGGATTGTAGCACAGATGCTGTAAATTACAGTATGCACATTATGTACAGTAAATATATTTAAAATGAATGACCATGAAAGTACCTCAGCTGTGGGCCCCCTGCCAGTAGTTTGCAGGTTAACAGAGGGCCTTGTTGGATGAACAGTGAGATAACAAGAAAAATTAACCCTGGGCTACATCGCCCTCTAATGAAATAAAACAGCTGGTGGAAGCAAAGGAGCCAGAAACCTCAGTGAGGATCCTTTTAAAGTGTGCCAGGGAATCATTCCTTCATGTTGGAAGGTTTGGGGACAGGGCATTATTTCAGAAAAATTCTGGAGTGTGTGTGTGTGGGTGGGGGGAGTTGTGTCAGCATATAGAACATTATCTGTGATTATATTATATCCTGAAAAGTAGGGAGAGCAGAGGGCAAAAAGTGGAAGACATAATAGACCCATATATAGACCCAATATAACATAGAATCATGAAAAAACTGAAGGAGACAAACCAAAGTTGGGAGGGGGGGTAGAAGCTGCCTCCCTCCCCTATAGCAAATACATGCCCTGTTCAGGGGCAGCTGAAGAGTTGCAGGGACAAAGGAACCCAGGGCCTCACTAGGTAGAAATGTTTCATCAACAGAGGCAGGAACAACTCTTCACCTGCAGGGATGACAGTTCAACTAGCCCCAGTTTCCTGCTTCAGGAACTGTACTTCTATTGGGTGTATCTTTAGACTGCTGTTCAGCAGCAGCTGTGCAGCGGATTCTTTAGGAGCTTATTCTTCAAGCAGCATTAACGCCATTAACGAAATTTCCATCTAAAGATCCCTGAACTAAGTGGAGGACAACTAACAAACCCCAGCTCCTCCTCCTTCTGGAGAGCATCTACTCATGTAGACTTCCGTCCATGTGAGCGGATGGTAAGATCTAGGCTCCTGTTATTTAGCGTATCTGTATTCTATCATTTTACAGTAGAGACCCATAACATGGTATTAACAGCAATCCAGGGTCAGTTCAGCAAAGGTCAGATTTTACAGAAATTTGGCAAGCAATTATGTGGCAAATTTGTATATGAAATTATTGTGGTTGGATGTGCAAATCCAGGTAGTCACTGGTGTCAATGGAAAATTATGCCTATTTCCATGTACATTTACCTTGCTTCTGTCTGTAATTACAGTTATTGTGTGCACAGATAAGGCTCACAAATGCACATGCATCTGTATATCTGACTTTTTAAAAAACTCCGGTCCTAGATATCTTATTTGGCATGCAGAGTAAAACTGAAGAACTAAGAGGGAGGTGGGATTTTAAGGAAGTGACAATAGGCTATAGATTGTTTCAGCTCTGGGTTGCCAGTTCAGAAACAGCTCTGGTGTATAGTATTCAATAGTCATTAACTGTCCTATCTGAAATGATTTGATGATCTCCGTCTAGGTCCTAATGGACAAGTATCCAGATCACAAGGCTGTGCTCACAAGTGACATTATTTGGCAACCATGTAGCAGGGTCAGCTGAAAGGCTAAGGAATAGAAACATGGAGAGTGATCCACTTTCTCAGTCCCAGAGGTGATCCCTTCCAGAACAGGATGGAAAAAAATGGCAGAGATGTATAGTAAAATTTGCACTGCCCATACTGTATTTGTTTAGTATTTACCGCATACAGAGCATATAACTTTCCAGTGCTGACATCTTTCCTGAGCACCAGAATGCACCACTAATACAACTAATTAGAAAAGAAGTATAAACTGAAAGTATTAAGCAAGAACAAACAAACAAGGCAACCTAAAAGACGCCTTGATGATTCTTACTGATATGTATGTGTTTATGGTCCTACTGTATAAAAAAGAGTATTAGTATAGTGCCATGCTTAATTTGTAATGAAAGAGGTGCTGGATTCAAGCAATTGGGTGCCAGGGCTGAAGCAATTTTTTTACATTCATAACTGATGCAGCAAGCCCAGAGGTGCTTGGGCTATGAACTGCCAAGCCTAGAGGTGCTGGGGCTCAGTCCTGACAAGCCCTGGCACAAATTAAGCATTGGTAAGGTGAAAAAGATATATACTGACAATAAAAATGATATTTGATTTGTTCCTGGATTATTACTGTTAGTTGTAGGAATGCCCATTGAAAATAACCCCTATGACTCTTCCTTTCTTTGTTTCTCTTTATTTAGGTTACTACCTCCTTCTTGAAATGGATTTGTAATGCTTTTCTTGAGTCAAATACATTGCACCTTCATGATCAGTCCCTCAGAAAACTCTCTGTTATAAGGCTAACATATAATACTTGAAATCTCAGATAATGCACTATAACCACTACAATTTTCAATTGCTTCATTCAACAATAGTGCCCAAAGTTGCAAATGCAAAAAAGCAAGCAGTATAATTTTGTCTGGAAATCAATGTAGGGGGATAATCACGGTTCAGAGAACATATTATGGAGCTCTATCATAATATCAGCATTATACATGATGGCTGTACAATAATTAAATCTTGTATTGATTACTGGAAGCTAAATTATCATGATTATAATAGGATTGATCATTGCTCACTGGCAGGGATGCTGTTTCACTCAGAAGTTAAAATCAGAAGTCATTTCTGAATCCGAAGGGCAGCAGGGAGCAATTTCTCAAATCCCAGTCAGCAAAAATGTAAAAGATGGATGGATCTGTGAGCTAGTCTCCCTCCTAGAGAGAGACTGCATTTAAAAGCCCCCCCAAAGACCACTCATATTGTATTAACTTAGTGCTAGAAAAGATCAGAGGTAACGAGTTTACTTGTAATTGTCTTTAAAGCAATAAATTAACAACACCAAAAGTAGTGATTCAACCATACATCAACCATACTGTAGGCCAAATTTTGCTCCAAGTTAGATATGCACATATCCCATTGGCTTTACTTGTATTTGAGGGCAGGTATAGCCCTGTTTTTCCAAACTGATAGGGGAAATTTTAGTATAAAAGGATGCTGATAGCTGACCAAAATGGAGTGTGCTACTGGCAGGTTCTGCTTTCCTTATGTAACAGACCTGATAGAAAAAAGATCATGATGATCACATCACTAAGTCATATAGTTTGCTGGAAATTAAAATTTGTATATATTCCCTTGGGAACATACACATCTCTAATAGGTCCACAAACAGGGTCGGCCACAAATAATACTGGGCAACTTTTTTTTGTCTGACACATTTCACCCCCCCCATCAATGCAGATTCATTTTGATGGAAACATTTCACAAATGCATATTGATTTTGGCAAAAAATATATACGTTTTTTAAAAAAGGAAAAATAAATGTTGATTTTTTTTAAATGAAATGTTTTGCTTTTTTGAGCTGGATTCACAATGGGACTGAGGCGCCATTCACAGAACTTAGAGGAGGTTCTGAGTTGGGGTGGGGGTGGCATTGTGTACTTCTTGTCTAATAGGATACTAAGCTAGGATTTTGGAAATTGAGGTTTAAACCCCCTCTTTGGAGCAAGGACTCCAATGCAGCTCTTGTATATCCTAGGTACATGTCTAACCACTAAACTATTGTCTATTCTCACATGGGTCTCTCATTCTCTCCTGTTGAAGCTGTTCCACTTTGTATAAATAATTAAATCTTCATTGAAGCAGGGACTGGAGTCCAGGTGTCCCCCCACCCCTCACAGGTGAATGCCCTAACCACTAGATTCTAGAGTCATTCTCCCTCTCTGGCCCATTGAATATTTAATTAGTGAATACAAATTGGAACAGCTTCAACAACAGATCTTGAGAAAACCCCTCTCTCTCCCAATACCCTATAGCCTGGCAGTTAAGTCACTAATATAAAAGACTTATGTTCAAGTCTCTAATCCAGAATGGGGAAGTGATTGGGGAAACTTCTTTGAAGTTTAGGGATGTTTGGATGTAGAGAGTTGGTTTAGGGCCATTTCTACTAAAAAGCAGATTATTATCTTGGAAATGCTTTAGCTTTGTTAGATGACAGTGTAGCAAAAAAATGAAGGTTTGGGTTGCTTATCTTTAAAGTTTAAAAAGGGTACTAGCTAAGAAAAAGATATTTCGCA